GGTTGGGTCTGAGCGGCTGTGGGACTGGCGGGTGACAAAGATTTGTCCTGACTGTGGGCAAGGCGGAAAACTCTAGCAACAGTTTGGTTTTCCCTGGGCTTCCTTGGTCTTAGCCCTAAAGGTTCTGCCATTGTAAGACTCCCTTTGGTCTAAGGCAAACCAGAACAATTTGTTACCCTAATTGATAGGTGCAGTTTCAGGCCAGCGAGAAACCAGAGGAGATGGGAAATAAGGCAATGAAGCAGCCTAAGCAAATGCAAAGTGCTCTACTAATAAGCCAGTCAGAATTCTGAAAGAATATACTTGACTGTTGACCCAGGCAACTTATTTACAGATAGGCTGCCTTAAGCCACTGCTCCTTAGGAACATCTCCTGACAGGAAGGATAAGGAGGAATGTGTCTGCTATTTTCTTCCTGTCTCCAATTTTTTCACTGGACATTGTCATTATCCAGAGTGTTAAACCCCTGCAATTCTGGGCTCTTGCCCTTCTGAAAAGCTTCTGGGGAAACTAAGTCATGTGCCGCCTGCTATAGCCCTTCTGACACTAAGAAGGACTTGGGAAAGTTATGACTCTTGTAGACCTGATTAGATCAGACCTATGCATACTGGAGTCCCATGGCTCCCATTGCAAAAGTCAGAATGGAGATTTGTAGATTTGTGAAGGCCTCATTAACTAGTGGTCTTATCTCATTTACATTTCAGAACTCTGTGAAGATTGCAATTGTAATCCTCATTTTACTTATGAGATTAAAAAACTTGTTGAAAATGTACTGCTTATAAATGTCAGGATTGGGGTTCAAATATAAGGCTGTTAGACTCTCAGTATGTAAGCATTAACCACTTGATTTTATTACAAGACCACTTGATATGCAGCAAGTATTTGGGAAGCATGGACAGAACTCCAAGAATCATTCTAGTGTTTATTTTTATTAATTGATGGTGTTACCTCTTAAAAATTAGTCACATATCTACTTAACCTGGCACATTTCAATAGATTTCTTTATTTAATGCTGATAATAAGAATCACTGCCGGACCGCCGGGCGGCAGGGCATGAGCGTGGAGGGGCCGCGGCAGCCCCCCCTCTCCCACCCCCCACCCCCGCGCCGCCCAGGCCGTGACCGGGCGGGGGGCGGCTGCATTAGCGCCTGCAGCCCGCGGGGCTCGCAGAGCCCGGAGCGGCCACCATGGACTGCAGCCTACTGAGGACGCTCGTGCGCAGATACGTGAGTGGAGTGGCGCGCTGGGCTAGGGCTGGGGCCCAGGCCGGGGCCAGGGTCGGGATTGATGGGGATCGGGATCGGGGTCCAGGCCGGGAACGTCCCGCCGAAGGGTCCGCGCCGCCCTTCACCTGCGCTCGGCCAGGCCCACCCGGGGAAGGCAGTTGCAGCCCTGGCGATCCCGGGGTTAAGGGACACCCACCCCGGGGGTCGCGCTCAGTTGTAGCGGGGCGGGCCCGCGCGGGGCACGGGGACCGACTGGGAGGTGGGTCCAGGGCTGCGGGTGAGCGGGGAGTCAGAAGTGAAGTTTGCCGTCTCTGAAAGTAGCCGGCCGGGTCCGAGTGCGCAGTTCCCGGTCCTTCTGGGCGCCCCAGCTCGGGTAGTGACGGAGCGTGCCTCACCGGGGGAGACCAGGGAGGTGGCAGCCGTGGGTCAGGACGGAGCAAAGGGGTGTGTACAGAAAAGAGAGAATCTGCCCCGGGACGGCGCATCTTCCCCGGCGCTCGGCACAAGGACCTATTGTCCGGCAGCTGGCGCCGGGTGGTCACAGGTTTGAGGAGCGCCCGGGTACGGAGGATAGACCCGAGCCGGCTCTCTCTGGCTTTCTCTGAGCCGGACACTTGGCCTTAGATGTGGGTTTTTCCCGAGGGGGAATGTACCCACCGTGATTTTTCTAGTAAATTCCCTTCCAACTTTGACCTTCCAGTAAGGAAAGAATGAGAGTGGGAAGTGAAGTTCTCCCCCGTGGAAAGTGGAAGGTGGAGGGGTGGTCTTCTTGTTCCCAGGGGAGACTCGCCGTGGGTGTGCCAGCCTCCCGGGGTCCCAGAGCACATGTTCGTTCTAAGTAGGTGCTGTCTTTTACTTTTGTGCTGCCCCCAGGCAGGCCCTTGGCTGTCGGCTGTCTTATATTTCCTCAATCTAGGTAAAATTTCAGGTTAGCTTCTTTCTGTTCTGCTGTTTTCTCTCTGAAGTGGCATTTTCTGTCTAGGAGGTAGATATTCCTACTCTTCAGTTATTTGACAGTGCATCTGGTATGTGAGTTATGGTATGTTATTCATTTTTACTATTATGTTATCTCATTTTTTTAAACCTCCTTGCTCTCAATGTGTTCTCCTGACTCCTCTACCATATTCCTGTACACAGCTGCTCATAGCTAGGATTTTAAACTCGAGTCTAAGTCTTGAAATTAACTTGATTTTTTCCAGACACAGTTATGATTTTTCTTGTAATATGGTTATCTTCCAAGATGTGTGAGATTATAGTTTCTTTTGTAAGAGGGGGAAAAAAGAGACGGACTATTCTCATCTCATGGATTATGCAACTTACTCTACAGAACTCAGCCTCCTCCATCGCGCCTTCCTCTCCTCACAGTCAGAATCCCTGAGACGATAAAAGCCCCACAGCTCCCTCTGAGGCCCGAGCTTGCTAAAGACGGAGTCATCAGTGCTTGGAAAACGTTGCCATAGATATTTTGTCCTGGGTCAGTTCCGGGCAGTGAGTACAGGCCGGTAGATGAAAGAGAACTCTTGTCTAGGCGAAGCCGGTGCCCGCCACGGTATACATTGCTGTACCCTGGAACAGCCGCATGGGCGTGTGGAGGTGCACAGCTCCTGCACTGTGAGGTGGCCAACGTGCCAGGGTGCAGTCTAAGTCATACCGTGTATCCTAAACAGCTTAGAGAGCGTAAGTGGAGTCAGGGACACTTCCTGGTAGGTGTGTGAGGTGGGGAGTGTGACCCCTTTGACAGGAAGCAGCAGAGCCTTCTGGAAGCAGCTTGGGGGGGGGGGTGCTTCTGTTTGCAGCCGAGTACCTGGGACAGGCGGCCCGGCCCTGCTTAGGCACTTTTGCCAGAGGACAGTAACAACTTGCAGTTCTTGTGCGGATTCAGTGTCTTAGTCCAGAAAAGGGCTAAGACTGGGGGCCCAGGACCGGGACCGGGTCCGAGGAGAGGCTCAGAAAGTTTACCACCACACACTGACTGCTCAGGTTCCCCAGCCCTGGGCAGGCATTAGCCCTGGGCTGCCAGGGTTAGTTAGCTGAGTGTTTGAATCTCTTCAAAAACCTTACTTGAGCCGGGGCGGTGGTGGTGGTGCACACCTTTAATCCCAGCACTTGGGAGGCAGAGCCTGGTGGATCTCTGTGAGTTCAAGGCCAGCCTGGTCTACAGAGTGAGATCCAGGACAGGCACAAAGCTACACAGAGAAACCCTGTCTCAACCCCCAACCCCCAAAAATCTTTACTTGAGTGACTCTCACTGTGTGCCTCTGGTTGTCCAGGATCTCACTGTGTAGACCAGGCTAGTCCTGAACTCACAGAGATCTGCCTGCCTTTGACTCACCAGTGCTGGGATTAAAGGCACTGGCCACCTGGCGCCAAGCCCTCTAAACTTTAAAAAGGGGCGCGGTATTGGTTGGATTCCCTGCACCCACCCCATCCCCAGGGCTTCCCTGAGGCAGTGGGAGGGAGGAATTGGTGGTGGATATGATTTTTTTTTTTTTTTTTGCAAAGAGAAAACAAAATGATTTGAAGCAAGGTGTGGAGTACTGTTGCCTGGCACCCAGGAACAGGGCTTCCGAGGCCGCGCTCCTCACAAAGGTCCTCTCCCTCTGGCCTTCCTGGTTCATGTGGAGGGGATTTGATTTTCCTCTCATATTTCTGTAGGTCAGGAGCTTTATTTTGTTCATGTCTGAGTGATTAGGTTTATTAGGTTTTAGGCCTTGCCGGAGCTTCTGTGAGCCTCTGCCTCCCAGAATTTGCTTTGCACGTAACACACTTTGTCTAAGATGGAAAACTTGGAAAAACCTGAAGGCCTGCCTTCCTTCCTTCCTTCCTTCCTTCCTTCCTTCCTTCCTTCCCTCCCTCCCTCCCTCCCTCCCTCCCTTCCAGTTAGTTATGGCCCCAGGTCTTTTTGCTTTCTGAGACAGGATCTCCCTAAGTTGCTCAGGCTGGCCTTGAACTCACTTTGTATCCAGGCAGATCTCAAGCTTACGGTCATCCTGCCTCAGCCTCAAGGGTAGCTGGGATGGTAGGCCTGCATCACCATGTCCCGCTGGTTTTACTTTTCCTCGTATTTTATGTGCGTGGCCTCCTTGCCTACATGAATGTATGTAAGTACAGCACGTTCATGTCTGACACCTGCAGAGGTCAGAAGAGGATCACCCAGGGTGGAGTTTGAGCTGACCGTTATGAGCGGGCGCTGCAAATCGAAGTTCTGGAAGAGCAGCCAGCTCTCTGAACTGCTGAGCATCTCTCTCTAGTCTCTCATCTTTTTATATATTAGAAAGAGACCGTTTGGGCTCCAGAGGGCTTCGAGCACTTCCTCTGCACTTCTCCAAAAGTCTAGAAACTTGTAAGCATGCATAAGCATCACCTACTACCACCACCCATTCTTCCTCTTCCTCTTCTTTTTTGAGATAGGGTGTTACTATGTAGCTCTGGCTGTCCTGGAATCAGTACATAGACCAGGCTAGCTTCAAACTCACAGAGATCCACCTGCATCTGCCCCCTGAGTACTGGAATTAAAGGCGTGCCCACTGTGCTCGGCTTTTTCATTTTTATCACAGACATCAGAGTACACTGTGAGCTTGCCTGTTCTAAGAGACTTAACTCACTGGACTCGCCGCTCCGAGGATCCAGGCCTTCCTGTTCAGTCCCCAGAGTCGGTATTCCCGGACACAAAGTGAAACCACTTAACCACCAAGGCCCTTCTGGTATTTGAAGTAAGTGTTTCCTTAGGCATAAAACCCCAGGCTAATGCATGGTCTGTCTCCAGCATGGTGGTGGTAACAATCCATAGGATGGACTTGTAAAGTTTATCATTAACTTACAAGGCGGCAGCTAGACAAGCTTGTCCAGCACCCGCCTGTCTTCCGGCTCTGGTGTGTTCTGATTGGACATTTCTGAGCAGTCACCCCAGCTGTATATTTAACCTTTATTTTCCATCCCTTGCCTTGAATCTTCCCCACTGTTCTGTGGAACCCTATTGAATGTCTGCTCATTAGGACAAGCGAGCCTCAGATGCTTTTATTTCATGCTGAGGACTGAATTTAATGACCATGGGCAAAGAGGATTGATTCATTACAGCCAGTTAAGTTTCTAGAAACAGGAGCACTGTCCTCAGTTTACCATTAGCTGAGATGGCATGACTATTAACAGGCATGTGTGGTGCCTCTCTGCCCAGGAATTCTGTCTGCAGATGTGTTCCAAACTGAACATACAAATGGTTACTGGGTGCCTGTGCCCTGTGCCTGACACAGACAGGGTGGATGAGATGCCCACGTCTCAGACTTACAGATGTTCTTTTCACCAAGTTAAACGCAGGTAAGAGAGCTGTTTATTTGTAATACGAATCAATAGAAAGCCATTTTTTACGGCCCTGGAAATACAAGATTGAATAGGTACTATTTTTGCTCTACTGGGATGCTGATGGCTGAGAAACTCAGGGTCGATGCAGAGCTTTGGAGGTTAGGCATCCGTCTTCCTGGATCCTTACATCGGTCTCTGCCTCCGCCTGTACCTGCTGGTCGGCTTCTTCAGTCTGTCTCCCCCTCTGAAAACAGGGCCAGCCGGCCCTAGGGCCCACTCCCTGGAGCCTGCACTGTCGAGGACGCAGCCCTCGCACGCGGTTCATGCTCCATGAGTGGGGCCAGTATGGACCGGACACCATGAGTCCGCGCTGTACGGCTTCTCGTCGGACTTCGCTCTCCCTCTTCATGGGGCCGCTGACAGCCTGCCTAGACTTTTGAGAAGAGAACAGGCCCCTCCGCAGGGCCCACAGTCCTGCCGTTTCTGGCCTGGCCTGCCTCCCTGGTTTGGGGCAGCAGATCCCATTTTGATAGAGACCAGACCTGGGGCTTGTACTCCCCATCCTCTTCCTGTTCAGGTGACATCATCGGCCCCGTGGCACAGAGTCATGTCTGTCGGTCTACGCTTTGTCTTAATGGCTGACGACTAGTCATAGCTGACCAGACTTTCTTTCCTTCCACCTCGTCTCTGTCTTACTCCTG